CACCATGCCTGGCACTATGTATTGAATGTGCATGGCAGGCAAGTGCTCTACCTCTGCGCTTTGTCCCTGGTCCCATACATTGCTTTCTAAAATCTGTAGCAATTGGAAATTTAATGCAGGAAGGTTTCAAAATATTGTTTTAAACGTGTGTAGCTTATGAAATATAAGTATCATCTAAAATTTCATAATGCTGAGGTCACTGAGGCTATTCTGCAATTACTAACAAATCTTTGGCCTTAGGAAAGCTTTCTGAGGAAGGTATGGTTATACTAAAATATAAACATGATGGTAAAGACCAGAAAAGCTTTCAAAGAATAGTCTCTGAAAAGTTGAAACTTACATTGTAGCTGGCTTTTAATATTTGTGTTTTGCATGATTATATGTATATATATCAAGTGCATGCAGTGCCTTGCTGGCCAGAAGACACTGGATCCCTTGGGACTGGAGTTACAGGTGGCTGTACTCCACCATGTGTACTGAGAATCAAGCCCTGTTCCTTTAGTAGAACAGCCAGTGCTCTTAACCACTGAGCCATCACTCCAGTCACAGATAGCTTCTAATATGGTAGTGGAAATGGCACTGTTTTCCCCACAGCTATGGCATAATCTGTCCCCTTCCAAAGTGATCCTGTAAGATGTTACAGGCCATGGTTAGCCATCATGATAGCAATGGTATTTGATAAAGGTAGAAAAATGGCCTGTTTGTTTTTAAAGTTTGGAAGGTATTTGTCTTGGTTTTTTTTAGGACTAAGTTTCTGGGTTGGAGCTCCAGAACCAGTAAGTAAATAAGTAAAAATAAATAAATAAGCAAACAAACGAATAAATAAATAAATACATAAATAAATAAATAAATAAACGATAAATAAATAAATACATAAATAAATAAGGGTTTTGTTTTGGTTTGGTTTTGGTTTGCTGTCTGTTTGGTTTTGGTTTGTTTTGTGTCAAGGTCTCACTACGTAACCCTGGCTGGCCTAGAGTTCACAAAGGTCTATCTACTTTTCTAGAGTATACTGGAATTAAAGGTGTGTGCCACAGCACTGGCCTTAGTTTTTTGTTTTGTTTTGTTTTTAAATCTAACCATTATACTTAGTGGTCTGATTTTTATAGTATACTTGACATTGTTTGTATGCGATGCTAATAATGGTCCTAGATAAACAAATGAGTGTTGCCTTTTAGGTTTATTGCCCTGAAGGTTTATTGCAGTGATTGACTGCTGGTGTTTCATTTTACACCTCTTTTAGAATCACCTCAAAATCACTCAGGACATTAAGGGTATAAATGTGCATTCTTGATAGTGACTGTGTGGGTGGAGGTGAGCTTGAACACAGTGCTTCATTCCACTGCCCCCTAACTCTGTCACCGGGCTACAGCGACAACCTTGCTCTGAGGGTGGTTGTCAGAGAAAATGGGGCATCGTCCAGTCTTGTGAAATAAAGAAACGGACAGTCAAATTGTGGAGAAACTCAAAGAGCTCTGAAGTGATGAGGCAATGTTAGGGTTTGTAAAAACTGGACCCAGCAGGACTGCCCCAAGAAAGGCGTGAAGCATTGCTGGAGTAAGTGTGCCCTCCAGGGTGGCTTGTTTTCAGAACTAACTGGTAAGGAAGTTTAAGTTTCTTTGCTGCTTTCCTAATAATTGTGCCTAAGCAGTAAGTGAATAACAGATGTGGAGACCCTCTCTGTGACACCAGTAGAAGCCGGTAGAAACCTGAAACAGTCTGTTGTTAAAGTTTTATTCCCCTGAAGTTCCTGTCCCAGAGGCTTACGGCCTCCATCTGCTAACCTAGGTCTAGTTCTCGAAGGAAGTATGCATGCATGCAGGTCATCTAGCAGTGGCATCCTAGTAGCTTATCCCTGCAAATGGGCTCTGTGGATTTCCCACCTGTGACCTGATCTTGTGCTTAGGCCCAAGGAGGGGCACTACCAAGGTGTCTTGGAGCCTTCCCTTCCAGAGGCTGGCTCCTGAAACCCATGACTGGTACCTGCTCCAGCTCCAGCCCCTGCTGAAGGTTCAGTGCCCCAGGGAAGCTGGAACCTTACACAGGGTCTCGCTAAGGCGACCCTGGGGCACTGGTGGGCCAGCTGCTGTTTCAGGAAGTCTAGCCTCCTATTCGTGGCCGTAGTGCTGGAGTTTCCTGAGTACTCAGCAGAATCCCCCCACCCACCCACCCAGCCTCCAGAAGCCTGATCACCCCTGGCCTGGCTCCTGAAACTGAAGAAGCAGCCAGTCATCCATCCTGGCCCGGCCAACACCAGGGCTCCATCCTGAGCTGGCAGCACCAGCAGCCAATCCAGGGCTTCAGTGATGCTAGGCCAAAGCCCCACCCATCCCGCCAGTAAACTAGGCAAACTGCTGCAAGCAACAGGCACCAGCAGGAACTGGAGAGAGCCCCCTCTTCTCTCACAGCACTGAGCTTTCCTGACCCCATAACCATGCCTTGCAGCAAACAACAAACTCCAGCAGCCATCCTAAAAAATAAATCTTGAAAATATACACAAGAGAAGATCTGTCCATAGTCATGCCAGCAATGAAGCCTCATTGTTACCTTTCTTAGGTTAGAATCATAATAAGCTAAGGCCGGAGAGATGGCTCAGTGGTTATGAGTGCTTACAGACGACCCAGGTTTGAGTCTAGTGGCCACATGGACTCTCAGAGCTGTCTGTAACTCGAGCCCCAAGGGATCCAGCACTCTCTTCTGACCTCAGCAGACACCAGCACATACGTGCTACACAAACTATGTAGGCAAAACATCCATACACAGAAAACAAATCTTTTTTTAAAAAAAATATTATAAACTTTATTTTTTTTAACTAAAATTTTTATTTTGTTATTTTCTGCATATAAGTGTTTTACCTGCATGTACCTCATGCATACTTGGTGACAGAGGAGGCCAGAAGAGGGCATCAGATCCCCTAGAATGGGAGCTGCAAATGGTTATGAGCAGCCAAGTGGATCCTGGGGATCAAACCTGGATCCTTGGCCTGGAGAGATGGTTCAGAGGTTAGAACACTGATAGCTCTTCCAGAATGTCCTGAGTTCAATTCCCAGCCACCACATCATGGCTCACAACCATCTATAATAAGATCTAGTGCCCTCTTCTGGCCTGCAGGTGTACATGTACACAGAATGTTATATACATAATAAATAAATAAATCTTAAAAACAAAACAACAACAGCAAAAACTGGATCCTCCCCAAGAGCAACAAATGATCTTAACCTCTGAACCATCTCTCTACCCCAAGATTTTGAATATTCTTAAATTATTTCAATGTTTTCTTCAACCACTAGACATTATTTATAAGGGCTACCAAGTTGGCTCAGTGGTTAAGAGCGGGTACTGACTCTTCTTGCACAGAACATGTATTCACATCCTAGTATTTGTGTAGGAAAATTCCCAGCAGCATGTGATTTGACCTGTAAGGGACCCAGCGCCTTCTTATGGTCTCCATAGGCAACTGCTCTCACATGCAAACCTACATACACACACACACACACACATCATTTAAAAGCATAAAAATAAACATTAAAAAAATATCATGACATCATGATACTCTTGACCATGACATCACACTCGAGTCTCCAGCCCAGGCAGCGGGCATGTCACTGGTGCTGCTGTCTTGGCCTTGCGGTCCATGTACCGCAGCAGCAGCCAGAAGTGGCACTAGACCTTCAACGGAGAGCAGCTGGTATGCCCAAGGGCTGACGCCAACCACAAATTCAAGGGCAAAGCAGTGGCTAACGGGAAGGTTCTTCCAAATGATCCTGTGTTTCTTGAGCTTCAAGAAGAAATGACACTTTGCAAATACTGTGAGAAAGGTTATTGGAACTCTGTTCAGTGTTTAAACAGCAATGCCCCGATCTGTTGTGGTACAGCTTGTATTTCAAGTGTTTCTAAACTTAATAATTCAGTAATGGAATATCACCCCCAGATAATAATCTCACTTGTGCATTTCTGGCCTGCGAAGTGTCTAGTCTTCAGTTTGTTGGGACTCTTCAAGAGAGTCCCTTTGGACAGGAGAAGGCACTGGAGCAGATTTTGGAACATGAACTACTACTTATACAGCAACTTCCTTTTACCTTACTGTCCACAATCCTTATAGGCCATCTGAAAGCTTCCTTGTTGAGAGAAAGACTCCATACCCCGCGTTGGAGACTCCAGAGCTGCTGATTTTCTTAGTAGAATTGCATTGACAGACCTTATCTTTTGTACACACCTTCACAAATTGCCCTGGCTGCCATTTTGTCAAGTGCCTCTAGGGCTGGAATTACTGTGGAAAGCTATTTATCAGAAAGTCTAATGCTGAGGGAAAACAGAACTTGCCTGTCACAGTTACTGGATATAATGAAAGGCAGGAGAAATCTAGTAAAGTATGAGCCACCCAGGTCTGAAGAAGTTGCTGTTCTGAAACAGAAGTTGGAGTGGTGTCATTCTGCTGACCTTGCACTTAATGTGATGACAAAGAAGAGGAAAAGCTATGAAGATGATTACTATATAGCAAAGAAACCCAAACAGGAAGAGGCGGAATGGACTATCTTCTCTGACCATTTGAAATTACTACGGCAGTGCTAATTAACCAACAGCAGTAGGAAGCGTATCTGACATTTTAAATAGTGCCTATCTGACATTTATAACTAGTAAATATCTGACATTTTAAATAGTAAGCATATCTGTACTATTTTAAATAGTACAATGTGAAAACATCAAAATATATTAAAATTTTCTAATTGCTATAAAAATCCATCTTCATATGGCTTACAGAATTTATTGTTAAACTATTTAAACTTTATTATTGAAGAATTAATAAATGCTTATATTAAGCCTTATCTCACATTCATGGTATCAAAAGTATGAAAAACTGAGGACCCAGATGACAAGACAGGATTATGCTGTCTTGGCTCTTCTTATATTTATAAACATTCTCTTTGCCAATAGGCAACTGTAGTTGTTTTTCCATAAAGAAAACTAAAAGGAAAAATGTCTCTTCTCTTTTGCTGAAGGTGGTTGGAGGTAAAGTGAAGAAGCCTGGTAAGCGAGGGCGGAAGCCAGCCAAAATCGACTTGAAAGCAAAACTTGAGCGGAGCCGGCAGAGTGCGAGAGAATGCCGGGCGAGGAAAAAGCTGAGATACCAGTACTTGGAGGAGTTGGTGTCCAGTCGGGAAAGAGCTATCTGTGCGCTCCGAGAGGAACTGGAAATGGTAAAGTCTTTCACCAGCAGGAAAAGCACCCATCCTACCATGGCTGTCAGTGGGAACACAGCAAAAGAGGGTTGCATCGGTCCTTAGCTGTCCAACTGGCACACATTAAAAAGAATGTTAAATGTTAACCTTTTCTACCACATTGTAGGCTTTTTTTTTTTTTTTTTTTTTTTTTTGGTTTCTTGAGACAGGGTTTTTCTCTGTAGTCCTGGAACTCAGTGTGTAGACCAGGCTGACCTCAAATGTTCAGAGATTCTTCTGCTTTTGGCTCCCAAGTTCTGGGATTAAAGGCATGTACCTCCCCAACCAGGCCCGAATAGGCGTTTTTAATATGGTGCTGGTGGGAGTCTTAAGGGATTTTTATGATAGGAAAAAAAATGGGAACTGGAGAGTCCTGGCTGCTCTTCCAGAGGTTGAGTACAATTCCTAGCAACCATATGGTGACTCACATCTATAATGGGATCCCATGCCCTCTTCTGTTGTGCAGGTATACATGCAGAAAAGGCACTCATAAATAAATAAACAAATAAACCTTAAAAATAACTGTAGTTCTCCCAGGATTGAAACACATACACACAATCCCATTTTTAAAAAGAGAGAGAGAGAAGATGTATAAAGGGTGGCCAGTATGGCTCAGCAGGTAAAGGTGCTTGCCACTACGACTGATGACCTTCATTCAGTCCCCCAAACCCGTTGGTAGTAGAGTGCTTATGTAGTCCTGAGCTTGATGCCAGCACTGCATGAAATAGGATTTGAGTTGGATCTAGGATGCATGAGACCCTGTCTTAACACGCCCTCCAAATAATGAGCTACGTGCAGTATCAGATAACTTAGGTACAAGTCACGCTGTATGCATGTGAGGCTACTTGTAACCCCTGTTGGGGGAGCACTGAGCAAGATCACCAGTACCTGGGTTACGTGGATGCCCCACCCAAATCACAGTGTACATCGCATTTACAGATACAGATGCTGCCAATGTATGGCTAAGTGGAAGAGGCCACAGAGCAGTCCACAGTTCTGCAGAAGGTGCTGCCATTTGTTTTCCATGAGTTTATTCACTTTACATGTTTCATTCAGAGTTTATAGCGATTGTAGAAATGTGAGAGTAGATAAGCAATTAAAACCCTTTGTGCACTCAGGGAGGAGGTAAGAAGTGGGAGAAGAGGTGGAACTCTCGTGGCTGTTGCAAAGCTGGCTTTTCAGAAAGTAATAAAGCTGGGCATGGTGCTGCATGCCTGGAATCCCAGCACTTGGGGGATGGAGGCAGGAGGATCAGGAGTTCAAGGCCAGCCTCTGGACTCTAAGAGACTATGTCTAAAAATAGACAAACAGAAAACCTGCAGGGCTGAGGGAGGTGACTGCGTGAGTGAGTGCCTGAGAGGAGACCCTCAGGACACCTACAGCTGGACGCACAGTAGTGCTCCTCAGCAAGATGGCAGGCACCAAGAGCAGTCTCCGGAAGCTCGAGGGCCAGCTAGCCCAGCCTGTGCAGCAGCAGAGCACAGGGTAAGCAAGCACCAGAGCAGCGAGCTACAGGCAGGCCCCCAGGAGAGCCCCTGTCTAGGATTTTCACATGTGCTGCCTGAACTCTGACTTAGCGTTTTATTTAAGTGTATTAAATATTTCAGTACAAGCAATGGTGCATGGCAATGGACCAAGGGAAAATCCCTTCGGAAATAAGGGCCCTACTCACTGGAGAGGAGCAGAACAAGTCTCAGCAGACCTCAAGCAGGCATCCCAAAGCTGGGAAGACAGACGCTAACACCAATTCCTGTGAGTACCATCTATGGAGCATTCCTGAGGGAGAATGTGTGTGGATCACTAGGCAAAGTGGTTTGAAATAAAGTGAAGCACCAATATCATTTGTAAAACGCTAATCAGCGAGTGTTTTGGCGGATGATCCTAAATCCTGAAATGAAAGCCATCTGAAGGATGGGTGTGCTGGTATATACCTACTTTGCCATCACTAGGGAAACTGCAATTTGGAGACCAGCCTGGGCTTTATAGAAAGACACTGTGTCAAAAGACAGAAAGCCCAGGCAGGTAATGGATGTGTGTAGTCAGTCCATCATTTAAAGTGGCGCTAAAGGTGTCATTCATGCCATTCTCTCGTGTGTTTACTCACAGCTTACAAGGTACTTTAACATTTAACTTACACATTTACTCCAATGATGGTGCTAAAGAACCATAGTCTTAGATGGCTGTAGCTTAGCAGTAGGCTGTGTGCTCAGGGTTAGCCTGCTCTAGGCCAGTAGTTCTCAACCTTCCTAATACTGTGACCATTTAATACAATTCCTCATGTTGTGATAACCCCCAATCATAAAATTATTTTTGTTGCTCTTTCATAACTGTAATTTTGCTACTGTTATAAATTGCAAGCTGGGTCTTGGTGGTACATGTCTTTAATTCCAATGGGAGACAGAGGCAGGAGGATCTCTGAGTTTGAGGCCAGCCTGGTCTATAGAGTGAGGCCAGAACAGCCAGGGCAACACAGAGAAACCCTGTCTCAAACACAAACCAAACCAAACCAAATTTTTTTAAAACTCAATCATAATGTAGGTATTTTTGGGACAGAGGTTTGTCAATGGGGTTGTGACCAACAGGTTGAGAACCACTGCTCCAAGCCCTGCATGCAATCTTAGGATAATAAACAAAAGTGGAAAATGAGAGGAAAAATAGCAGAGCATCTGCGTGAGGTCCCAGAGTCTCAAGGTGTAATTCCAGAGGCTGTTCTCACAACTAGGCTCTTATTACAGTAAGTTGTAACTGAGGATGTTTTTCTTCTTTTGCAGTGCTCGGGAATTGAACTCATGGCTTCAGATATGCTAGGTAAGTTCTCTACGTCACCAGCCCAGGGTTTTTATTTTTGTTGAGGTAAAATTCATGTAACACAAAATGAACAACTTCAAAGAAAATCAAGCACTTTAGAATGACAATGCAGAGGCGTTTAGTATACTCACAGTGTGATACAACTGTCATCTCTA